AATTATGGTGAGAAACAAGGATAAAGGAAGAAAAATAAAATGTTTTATTTTTGAGAGTCTAAAAGTCTCAGGGCTCTTTGTAAATTTTCTAGCTTTAATCACAATTACTTTAGATATTTCCCCCAGAGAAAATCAGTGAAGGAGAATATTGGTTATATTGTGAATATATTTTCCTGATGTATTAGAAATATCCCTTGTTGAGACAGAAGCTATGTTCTCCTTTAGTCCAGTGTCTGTTAAGGAAACAGTCTTTCAGAAATGTTTCATTACCAGAAATTGCACTGGTAAATATAATTCCTAAGTGAAAGTGATCATTTCTAGCTGAATCAGAGATTAAAACTTGCACAAGCGCATATTCCTGAATTAGAATCATTCCTGTTTAACTAAATATTAAAACATATCTTCTTGCCTCTGACAGAGGAAAGAAATATACCGATAATATATTTATTTTTTTCTGAAAGTGCTGACACTAAGTATTTTAGCTTTTATATACTGTGGTGTCAAATAAGGCAATAGGAATGTATCTTGATGATAAAATCCTTCAGCAAGCTAATAAATTGTAAGGATGTTTGCTCCACAGCAATAAATCTCATTAAGTAACCCTACTATTTCTTGGGTTATTTTGGAATATGCTTTGCTTCTGACATCTTGAAGCTAGACTATATATCACAGTGTATTAAATACCAGAAGACTCTTGTGCTTTTGCTGCAACAAACTTGTAGAAACATTATTAGCAAATGCAATCCACAAAATAACAGCTCTGAAGCTGTACACTATATAAACATATTGAAAGGTTTGGAGAATCACTGTTTCTGAGAGAGAAACCGTCAGTGGCTAATAAAGGTCACTTGTTTGATGCAACTGCAGTAACCTTATTCCACATTCTTGACACTGACCTTACAATCATTTATGTAAGTGTACAGATATATATGCATGCTTCAAAAATCATTTGAAAGAAATGTTAGCACAGCCTTCTCAGCTATTCACTTAAGCAGCCCCTCTTTCATCAGGCTGTTCCCATAAGGTTCAATGTTTTCACAGTGCTAATAAATAGTACTTTATATGTAACATATAATGCAATCATAATATTATGGCTCATCACTTAACCAGATGTTTAGACTGGATTTAGTATTTTTATCCATCTATAGAATCCTTCTCAATGACCTGGAATAGGCAGATGTTGTTTGATGGTGTTAAAAGTATTGTCACAGGATTTTAAGTTGCTTTTTGCAATTAATGGTGATTTTGTCAATGCCAGTGGTATATTGTTAATTTTTATTTCCCAAATGCATGAACATCTGCATTAAATGCAGGATAAACCTAATAAATCAATCTAGTTAATAACCTAAATAAATAATAAATATCTAAGTAAAACTATATCCAAATATAAATTTTCTGCATAGCCAGAAATAATTCTCAGATGTTTCAGTTGAGTTTATCAACAAGTACATGTTGATCTTTTTTTTAAGCACCTTTTGTAGCATCTAAATTTAATTTTTCCTGTTTTCCAACTACTAAAAAACCTGTATGTTAATCCTAATTTTGGATTAGGATAGTAAGAACATCTTTTCAAAAGTGTGTTAAGTACCATACTTCTCAAAGCTGCTGAGACAAAGCATAGACAAAATCTATTATGGAACTACGCAGCACAAGATGAACCCAATTTTCATGTCTGCAATAAACTCAAGCTCCATCTTTAGACTATAATTAACCGGAATTGCTTTGTTTATCCTCTTTCCTGAAGACATCACGGTAAACTCAGAAGCCTGTGTCCTATTTTGTAACAAGGGCTCTGAAATTTTTCTTTGCATCTTTTGGATAGTATCCTTCTGCATAATCTTTACTTAAGTTAGTCTGCTCCTGCCACCTATTTCTATCACTGGAACCCACAGTGATGGAGTTTGTATACAAATCAACTTTACTCCCATGAATATCTATATATACATGTATGCACATAGGCAGGAAGGTTATAATTTTGTTTATACACTGAATGACTTATTAATGGCTAGATGACATTATTTTACCTATGTAGGTAAAGGTTTCTCCTGTCCAGTCATGTCCCACTCTAGGGGGTGGTGTTCATCTCGATTTCTTAGCCGAGGGAGCCAGCGTTGTCCAAAGATGCTTCCGTGATCATGTGGCCAGCATGATTATGTATGTTTTCTACTCACATTTTCATTAACTGCTAGGTGGGCAAGAACTGGGGCAGGAACGGGAGCTCATCCCATTGTGCGGAGTTGGGGTCTCAACCCAATTTTCTAGCTTTCCAGCTGACAAGCTCAGTGTCTTTAACTACTAAGCCATCACGCCATTCTATTTTACATACATAAAAATGTTCAAAATGAAGCACAAAGTCTTTATTTGAGAAAGGGTTACAAAGATAAGAAATTATAGTCAATTTAATTTTCTGAGACTGTTCAGGAAAAATCAGGGAAAACAGGGAAAAATCAATTGACACCAATTGCTACTTGCAAAGTTCTTCTAGAACATACAGTCAGGTCCAGAAATATTGGGACATCGACACAATTTGAACATCTTTGCCTCTATACACCACCACAATGGAACTGGAATGAAACAAACACAATGTGCTTTAACTGCAGACTGTCAGCTTTAATTTGAGGGTATGTACATCCAACTCAGGTGAACGGTGTAGGACTTATAGCACTTTGCGTATGTGCCTCCCACTTGTTAAGGGACTAAAGGTAATGGGACAATTGGCTTCTCAGCTGTTCCATGGCCAGGTGTGTGATATTCCCTCATTACCCCAATTAGAATGTGCAGATAAAAGGCCCAGAGTTCATTTCAAGTGTGCTATTTGCATTTGGAATCTATTGCTGTCAACTCTCAAGATGAGATCCAAAGAGCTATCACTATCATTGAAGCAAGCCATCATTAGGCTGAAGAAACAAAATAAACCTATCAGAGAGATAGCAAGAACATTAGGCATGGCCAAAACAACTGTTTGGAACATTCTCCAAAAGAAGGAATGCACCGGTGAGCTCAGCAACACCAAAAGACCCGGGAGATCACGGAAAATAACTGTGATGGATGACCGAAGAATTCTTTCCCTGGTGAAGAAAACACCCTTCACAACAGTTGGCCAGATCAAGAACACTCTCCAGGAGGTAGGTGTATGTGTGTCAAAGTCAACAATCAAGAGAAGACTTCACCAGAGTGAATACAGAGGATCACCACAAGATGTAAACCATTGGTGAGCCTCAAAAACAGGAAGGCCAGATTAGAGTTTGCCAAACAACATCTAACAAAGCCTTCACAGTCGAAACCAAGATCAACTTGTACCAGAGTGATGGGAAGAGAAGAGTATGGAGAAGGAAAGGAACTGCTCATGATCCTAAGCATACCACCTCATCAGTGAAGCATGGTGGTGGTAGCGTCATGGTGTGGGCATGTATGGCTGCCAATGGAACTGGTTCTCTTGTATTTATTGATGTGACTGCTGACAAAAGCAGCAGGATGAATTCTGAAGTGTTTCGGGCAATATTATCTGCTCACATTCAGCCAAATGCTGCAGAACTCACTGGATGGCGCTTCACAGTGCAGACGGACAATGACCCAAAGCATACTGCAAAAGCAACCAAAGAGTTTGTGAAGGGACAGAAGTGGAATGTTATGCAATGGCCAAGTCAATCACCTGACCTGAATCCCATTGAGCATGCATTTCACTTGCTGAAGACAAAACTGAAGGGAAAATGCCCCAAGAACAAGCAGGAACTGAAGACAGTTGCAGTAGAGGCCTGGCAGAGCATCACCAAGGATGAAACCCAGAGTCTGGTGATGTCTATGCGTTCCAGATTTCAGGCTGTGATTGACTGCAAAGGATTTGCAACCAAGTATTAAGAAGGGAAAGTTTGATTTATGATTATTATTCTGTCCCATTACCTTTGGTCGCTTAACAAGTGGGAGGCACATATACAAACTGCTGTAAGACCTACCACGTTCACCTGAGTTGGATGTACATACCCTCAAATTAAAGCTGACAGTCTGCAGTTAAAGCACATTGTGTTTGTTTCATTCCAACTCCATTGTGGTGGTGTTTAGAGCCAAAGATGTTTGAATTGTGTCAATGTCCCAATATTTCTGGACCTGACTATAAGTACAGAATTGAAGAAGTAGAACAATTGATGATTGTTCTATTTGTTTGTCCCTTGGCTCCAGTCTGAGAGAATTTCCTTTCCTTTCCTCACCCTAATTACTTGATAGGTAATCAAGGCAGCAAATATACTAATACCCTCCCTCCTCCTTTTCCCCCCAACACCATCCCTGTGAGGTGGGCTGGCCTGAGAGCAAGTGACTGGCCCAAGATCACACAGCCAAACTTTGATGGCTAAGTCCGGACTAGCATTCAGTTTCCTGATTTCTAGCCTGGTGCCTTAACCACTGCACCAAACTGCACAGCCAATCCTCTTTTGTAATGTTGTTTCATGTACCGGTAGATACTCCATAAAACTGTAAATTCTGCACCATGGCAGAAGCCAAAAAACCCAAACCAGTAATTGCCTCAGGATTTTTTTTTCTCTAAGGTTGGTTTCGGGTCGGTGAAAATGCAGTAACAGTAAGTCAGGAGGTATCCTTTGCTGATACCTAAGCAAGATTACAGTATTAAAAAGGAACCCTAAGAATTATCCCCGACCAGTATTTTGTATTTTGCCCACCCAGACTCACTTTCCCTTGCTCGGCTTCTTCTGCTCACTCGGGCCGGGGTGCTTTCCTGCGCTCTCCCTGAAGATAACGGGGAACTGGATCAGCAAGACCCCGGGAGGCACCTCCGCTTCCACAGCCCTCAGCAGTACCGCTCCCGCGAAGGGCGGAGCGACTCCGCCACGTTGGCCTCGCAGGCCTTCCCTCACGGACCGCCTCTATCGGGCCGGCAGGCGGGCTCTGAGGAGCCGGCCTGCTTCTCTTCCCTTTTCCCTCCGCCTCTTATGCCACATCCTCCGCCTCCGCCGCCGTCGCTGCTGGCGTCAGCCGAGGGAGTCCGCGCCGCCATATTGGAGGAGACGCCGCCGAAGTCGCCCCCGCCGCCGCCGCCGCCGCTTTGAGTGCCGCAACAGGCGGAACCGGCCCGCCCATCCCGTCTCTGGCCTGCCGGCGACGGCGGGCCTGAGCCCTACCTGCGGGACCCGAGGGAGAAGGCCGCGGCCGCCCGGGGCTCCTGTCGCTTTCCGCTCACCGAGCGGGGCCCTCCGGGGTCGAAGGCTCCGTTCTCTTGCCGCCGCCGCCGCGCCATGACTTCGCTGACCCAGCGCAACTCGGGCCTGGTGCAGCGCCGCACGGAGGCTTCGCGCAGCGCGGCCGACAAAGACCGGGGGGCCGGCGGCGGCAGCGGCGGGGGAGGTGGCGGCGGCGGGCCGGAGGAGGAAGACCGGCGAGACGAGCAGGGGGACGAGGAGAAGGGGGACTCCAAGGAAACACGGCTCACGCTTATGGAGGAGGTGTTGCTTCTGGGCCTTAAGGACCGGGAGGTGAGGGACGGCGAGTCTGGCCCTTTCGGGGGCAGCGGATTGTGAGAGAACAAGGGGCCGGGGGGGGGTGTTAAGAGGCCGGAGGGTGGACATTCCCAGCATAGCGCCGGCCCGACCCGCTGGACTAAAGATTAGCTTCCCCAGCCAGCGTAGTTGGGAAGAGTCTCCTGGAGCCTTAAATGGGGGGAGGCTATTTGGGGGAGAGGGGGTCTTGAGAGAGCCATTGAAGAGGCAAGAGATTGATATTGCAGGAGGAAGAGGAATGCTCACCCGGAATTATTGGCGTAAAAAGAAACATTATAGAAAGATTACTGGCATAGTCTACCCTAGCGAGTCATCTGGAATCTGGTAGCACCTTTCCAGATTTGTGACTTTTGGGGAGGCTGCAGCTGCCTTCCTCAGATGCTCTATACAGCCACTCTGGGCTTCTAAGGAAGTCAACTCGCAAAAGCATCTCTCTTAATTAAAAAAAAAGGTGCTACCTTTCTTCTTGATTTTTCCGGGTAAAGGCTTAGGATTTAGAAGTCGATGGGTTCCGGGTTGTTTCAGTTTGCACAACACAATTCATTCAATTGACCAAGTTGAATTGGCAGGAGTTTATGCTGTGCCACAAACTGCCACATTTTAGCCACTGAGTTGTAGGGGCCCAGCCGACTTGAGTGCCATTCTCCTTGTAAAGCCCTCTCCCTTTATGGCTTGTTATAGTGAAATCATTCAAGAGATGGCTCACAAGTTTAAATAAATAAATAAATAAATGGAAGGGACCTTTGAAGTCTTCTAGTCCAACCCTCTGCTCAAGCAGAAAACCATATATCATTACAGACAAATGATAGTCCACTCTCTTCTTAAAAACTTCCAGTATTGGATTAGTTTGATTAGTTTCCATCCATAGCTTCTTGTCCTGCCTTCAGGTGCTTTAGAGAATAGCTTGACACCCTCTTCTTTGTGGCAACCCCTGAGATATTGGAACACTGCTATCATTTCACCCCTAGTCCTTCTCATTAAACTAGAACTGCCCAATTCCAGCAACAATTATAATGAATGTATATGTGTGTGTGTGTGTACACACACACATATTATAATTATTCATTTTTTTAATCGTGTGAGTTTATAGAAAAATATAATGAAATTAAGGAAATAGTATGAAAAGAACAGAGGAATTGATATCATTTGAAGATGAGCTAGCAGAAATATGCACATCCTTGTTCAAGCTTTTTTTAAGCAACTATAATTGGCTGGAATTGAGAAAGCCAGCAATTTAGAACTGTACCTAAAGCAGTGGTTCTCAACCTTTTTAATGCCGTGACCCCCAACCGGTCGTAAGTCGAGGACTACTCAACCGGTCGTAAGTCGAGGGCTACTCAACTGATGCAGCACCGTTTGCAGAATGGGACTTTTGGTGGGCTCAGCAGGGCAGAGACAGCCTGGACAATTCCTATTGGCTTTTGAAAGCCAATAGAATTAGACTCTATTCAAGAGAGTCTATTCTATTGGCTTTCAAAAGCCAATAGAATAAAAGGGAGTAGCACAGCTAAGGAAAAGAGGGGGGGAAATGGCGGACTGCATTGTTTGGCGACCCCCGTGAAATGGTCATTCGACCCCAAATGGGGTCCCGACCCACAGGTTGAGAACCACTGACCTAAAGAGAGTTTACTGGGGGAATAAACGTGTATTTAGTACTACATTGGGGAAGGGGATCCCAGCTCTAAGCTTTGGAATATACTGTAACAGGAAAATTCAACAGGGCTTCTAATTAGAAAGTAATTTAGCCTCAAATTTCCTCAGAGGAGTGTTTGTGTGAGAGAGAGGGAAAGGGGAAGAGAGAGATGATTATTTTACATGGTTTCTTATTTTAGTTGCCTTATAATATACAAAATTAACATACCAATTTTTGCTCTAACATGCTAGTGCAAGTCATAACATTGAGACCATTAATTCATCATCTCTATATTCCTTTCCTATTCCCTCTCATTTACTTATATAGATCCCTCTTAGATTGTGGGATAAAAGTTGGCACTTTTTTATAGTGATATAATTGATGTGCCTAAGAAAAGAGAAGAACAGTTGGAAATTACATAAACTCATCCATTAAACTATTAAATAAATGGCTATTTAGATATGTAAAAAATGCCATATACTTCATATAAATACATTTTTCCTAGAAAGGAAAGGTTTATTAAATATGTTTACAAAATATTAAAATTATCCTTGAAAAAGCAAATCTGTAACCTGTTGCATTAAGCCAAACTTAATAATAATAGTCTTGTGGTATCTTTATAATACATTTTTAATGGTACAACTTCATGGATAAGAATCAACTTCTTGTGATGAGGTAGGGTGTAGCTACAGTCTTAAGCTGTGATATCGTTTGTTGTTAGAAAATTCAATTCCACTTAAATAAAGGCAAACAGTACATCTTGTCATGTCACCTTGACTTGAAGATGGTAAAGATTTCCAAACCTAAGTTGGAAAACTTCATTATCTCTTCCGAGTTACATCTTTAACAATGAATTAATGCTCTATCGCTACCAAATGTTCTGAAGCTAATGTTCTGTAGCTACTTGCTGGAAAAAGACGGTCATGTTTGTTAGATAAGGTACACATTGAAGTAAATACAAAAAGCATTACCTTCAAAGAGCTGTTACTGTCTTGCTTAAAAGGTGACTGACTCAATACTTGTTGCTTTCTGCTTACAGATATTCTCAAAAGATAGGGTAACTATAAATTATTGATACTTATCAGAACTTGTAATGAATTAATGTGCGACAAAGCTGTACTCTTTTTACAGTTCTCATATGAGTATTTAATTTTATTTCTGATCTGTTGATTTGCAGGCCTAGCTGCAGTACCATTAATAACAAAGATTCACAAAGGTAGTTTTGGTTGCAGGGTTTTCATCCAGGTGTGATAGAAGGATTCCTGGCATTAGCCTTCCCTACCTATGATGAGTTTAGCAGTGATTCTGAATATGGAATCAGAGTGTGCTATTTGATTAAAACTTCTGAAGAAAGAGTTGCTATATAGCTGTGGTGGCGAACCTATGGCACGCGTGCCACAGGTGCCACGCAGAGCCACAGGTGCCACCATCACCCCAGTCCTAGACCCTTAGCTGGGTTTATAAAACCTTTTTGCTTTAGGCCTCCACTGCCATGTGCAAAAAAAAAAGGTTCAATCAATCAATTTCAACTTCTCACAGAAAAAAAAGATCTCACAAAGTTGGAATTGATGGATTGAACTTTTTAGTCCTACTCAGTCCGCCCTCCCAATTGCCCACACCTGCCCAATGGGCCACACACACCCGACACCCGACGATACATAAGTCGGTTTTGGGTTGCAGTTTGGGCACTTGGTCTCTAAAAGGTTCGCCATCACTGCTATATAGTATTGATGTAGCCATTATGCAAGATTTTAGATATACTTCTTGTGGAATAGTGAACAATTTTTGATCTTTTGTCAACTTTTGTATAGGCAGGATAGTGTTTAATATTCCGCATCATATATGTAAAGTTATTGTTAGTACACTTGCCTCAAAATGAATTGCTTTGCAGGCATTTAATATTGAATTACGTATTTAAATATTTAAATGTAAAAGCTCTTGTCACTTTTCTCATAGTAAATAGCTTTTTAAAAGCACAGTTAAATATTCTGGAGTTCAGAATTTTAAAAGCTTTTGTAAATGAAAATTTTGGGATGTAGATTCCATTATTTTTGAAGTCACTATAGAAATTCTAACTTCCATAATTTAGTGCACCGGTGTCAAACTCGGTTGTGTCACGTGACATATGACTTTTTTTGCTTTTGCGGAGCCAGGATGGGCATGGCCTGTGCGTGATGCATCTGGCCCACAGGCCGCCAGTTTGACACCACGGATTTAGAGTAATCCTGAAATGACTAATAGTAATACAAGTAGTCCTTGATTCATGACTAATTGACCCCAAAATTATAGCCGTATGTTGTTCCAGTTGTTGACAAGTCATCATGTGACTGTTTCTACTATTATGACTTTGCAAGAGTTGTTAAGCACATGCTGTAATTAACCAGTGACATGTCTGCAGATCCATTGTCTGCAATGTGTGTTTTTTGCTGGAAATTGGAAGTAAATGCCAGTCATGTGACTGCAGGACGCTGCAAACAGTCTTAAATATGAGTCAGTTACTGAGCATCCGAAATACAATCATATGACCAGGGAGAGGGACTATTGGAACTTAGAATCCAAATCTTAAGTAACCCTGAGGAATCCAGTTTATAGATTTATTTTTTTTTCAGATCTGAAGATCATGCTGCAACTGAAGAATTTTTATTTTCAGGCTCTGACAAGTCAGCTATACACATTCAAAATCATAGTCTGTTAATAAGTGTGTGAAGTAACAAAATATTTTAAAATCAGTGCTTGAATATAACTCAGAAAATAATAGAATAATCTTAATTTGCATCTAAGACAAGCCAATTAGTATTACATTGATACTTCAATCACAGATAAACTGAATAGCTCTGAGATGACTTGAAACATTTTGCTAGCACAGCACTCAAGAAAGATGTTATTTAAGATGGAAATACTACAGTGGAAGTAGAATAGCATCAGGACTAACAAGAACATTCAGCCTCAGTATAAAAGCAATAGAATTTGCCAAAAAAGCAACAACAGTGTTATACAAAATGCCTTTTTTCCAGCAAACTCTACTGTGACTACACTTATATTTCACCAGATGGACAATACTGAAATCAGATTGACTATTTATTCTGCAAGCAAAGAGAGAGAGAGAGCTCTATTTAGTCAGCAAAAAGACTTCAAAGTGACTATTGCTCAGATTATGAAATCCCTCTTACAAAATTATAGCTAAAGAAGACTAAGAAGATACAACTTCAGCAAATTTCTGCATGATTATCAATTGAAGGTAAAGAATAGATTTAATGGATTAGGTATGACACATACTTGAAAAACTCTAGACTGCAATTTAAAGCATAATTAAAAATGAAGCAAACAACAATATCCCAAGGGA